CTTAATATTTAAAAACTCATTAAAAAAATTGGTTGGTTGAAAAATTATGAAACTTGATTTATAGATCAATTAGAACGTCCCATTAATGAATCAATCGAGTTCATGGAAAAAAACAATCTAAAACTTGAGATATTTGACCGTATGACGGCTCAGAAAAATCGTATCTAGGCCTGGCAGACCAAAAATGCCTCAAAATGTACTATATATGGGGTTGACTAGTCTGCATGGGCTGGGCACGGGGGTACCCCCTATATCTTCCGCCACCCCCATGCCCCAAGCAATATGCGCCGCACATGGGCATATGCTTGGGTCATCGAGGTGGTCGTCGGAGGTCGAGGGCGGTTGACGGCGGTGGTGCGGTGGCGGAACGCGCACCGTGGGGCAGTGTCGAAACGTTCCCGCGCGCTCGCCAACCCCGCCTTTCCCCTCGCGTGCGCCCCGCCCCGCCCCGCTAACGTGCTAACGCGCACGCACGCCCCACCACCAGCGTGCTCCCGTGCGCGTGACCCCTCGCTAGCGTGCACCTCCGCCAGCGTGCTCCCGCGCGTCCTGTCTTGGCCCCGCCAGCGTTCTGCTGTGCGCGCGCCAGTGCCCGCGCCCCATCCATCACCCATTAATTGTGAAAGTACATGTGGAGTGATCGGTTTGTTGTAATTTTTTTCTAGGAGCTAAGAAACATGAAAACATGATTTCCACAAAATTTCAGATTTTTTTGACAACTCTAGCTATTTTTTCTAATTTCTTATTATTTAATATTTAAAAATTCATTCAAAAAAATTGGTTGGTTGAAAAATTATGAAAATTGATTTATAGATCCATTAGAATGTCAAATTCATGAATCAATTGAGTTCATGGAAAAAAAACATTCAAAAACTTGATATATTTGGCCGTATGACGGCTTAGAAAAATCGTATCTAGGCCTGGCAGACAAAAAATGCCTCAAAATGTACTATATATGGGGTTGACTAGTCTGCATGGGCTGGGCACGAGGGTACCCCCTATATCTTCCGCCACCCCCACGCCCCAAGCACTATGTGGCGCACGTGGGCATATGCTTGGGGTGTGGGGGTGGTGGTTGGCAGACGATGGTTGTTGATGGCAGTGGTGCGGTGGCGAAACTTGCACAGTGAGGTAGTGTCGGGTGCGCCTTTGGGTGTGCAACATGAGCCTTGTTGAGAATGGAATGTTTCGATGTTGCCTTCTAACTTGGGCTGGCTTGAGGATGGTTGATGGATGGTACGGTGATGAAACATGCAAGGTGGGGTGGTGTCGGGTGCCTTTGGGCGTGCGGCATGAACCTCGTTGAGTGTGTGACGTTGTGGTGATGCTCGGTCAGCCTTGGGCCAGTCCTATGTTTTGAAGGCGTGTGGTGCTAGAACATGTTCGGCTGGTTGGAATCGGGTGCCTTTGGGCGTGCGACATGAGCCTCATTGAGCATGGAATGTTGCATTGTTGCCTTGTAAATGGGAATCTCTAGTGTTTGGACTATGGATGGTTGCTGGTACGATGATGAAACATGCAAGGTGGGGTGGAGCTGGGTGCCTTCGGGCGTGCGGCATGAACCTCGTTGAGTGTGGGACGTTGTTGTGGTATGCCTCCCTTCCTTAGGCTAGCCCTATGTTTTGAAGGCTGCGTGGTGGCATAACATGCTTGGTGGGGCGGTGTCAAATGACTTTGGGCGTGCAACATGAGACTCGTTGAGCATGGAATGTGGCCTTCTAACTTGGGCTGACTTGAGGATGGTTGATGGTTGGTAGAGACTCGTTGAGCATGGAATGTGGCCTTCTAACTTGGGCTGACTTGAGGATGGTTGATGGTTGGTATGACGACAAAGCATGCAAGGTGGGATGGAGTTGGGTGCCTTCGGGCGTCCAACATGAACCTCGTTGAGCGTGTGACGTTGTGGTGACGCCATTGGGCCATCCTTGGGCCAGCCCTATGTTTTGAAGGGGGCGTGTTGGCAGAACATGCATGGTGAGGCAGTATCAAGTGTCGTTGGGCGTGCGACATGAGCCTCGCTTTGCACTCACTGTTGCGATGTTGCCTTCTAACTTGGGCTGTCTTTAGGATGGTTGATGGCTTGACCGCGCATGATGTTTTGGGTTTGGCTTCGAATGATGATTTTGAACCCCCGCTTGCGGTAGGTGTGAATAGTCGATCGTCGTCCAAGATTGTTTTAGCGTACGGTGCATGAGTGGTGATTTGGTTGCTTGGGTCAGCCTTGATGCTCGGGCATCAAACTGTAGGTGACACCTCCTCCTCATTGGTGTGTCCCAAAGTATTTTGAATGACCGTAGTCCATTGGTTCTTGCACAGATTACCTCATGCACCGGTAGCATCGAGTCTTGTTAGTCCCTTTCTATCAGCACCCTTGTTGGGTGCATGATGAACTTGGAAGCCCGCTTCGCATATCGCTTCAACCTTTGAATGGCTTGTTGCGAAATGTGTCTCGATTGCTTGCACTCTCGGATGTCGTGCATTTGGTGGCATGATGTGATTGGGGTACCCCTCGAACAATGTTGCCTATGTATTGCTAAACGAAGCATGAAAGAATGACGCTTGCTCTTACATTGCCACCATTGTTGCCTCTCTCACACTCCATTTGGAGGGGGAGATGGTGAAATGTGGTGGCATGTGGTTTGCAACGTTGTGTTGGAATGCTACCTGGTTGATCCTGCCAGTAGTCATATGCTTGTCTCAAAGATTAAGCCATGCATGTGTAAGTATGAACTAATTCAGACTGTGAAACTGCAAATGGCTCATTAAATCAGTTATAGTTTGTTTGATGGTATTTGCTACTCGGATAACCGTAGTAATTCTAGAGCTAATACGTGCAACAAACCCCAACTTCTTGAAGGGATGCATTTATTAGATAAAAGGTCGACGCGGGCTCTGCCCGTTGCTATGATGATTCATGATAACTCGACGGATCGCACGGCCATCGTGCCGGCGACGCATCTTTCAAATTTTTTCCCTATCACATGATAACTCGACGGATCGCACGGCCATCGTGCCGGCGACGCATCTTTCAAATTTTTTCCCTATCAACTTTCGATGGTAGGATAGTGGCCTACTATGGTGGTGACGGGTGACGGAGAATTAGGGTTTGATTCTGGAGAGGGAGCCTGAGAAACGGCTACCACATCCAAGGAAGGCAGCAAGCGCG